GCAGCTATAATTGTGTCCCAAAAAAGCTTAAATGAAGAAGAGCTAGTGATCTTTTTCTGTTGATTCCTCCTCATTGATCTTGACGGGTAACGTGCCTCTTTCTCTCTGTCCAGAATGAGGTGACTCTTCTGCGCAGCGAGGTGGCCCAGCTGAAGCAGCTTTTACTGGCTCACAAAGAATGTCCCGTGACGCTCCTGCAGAAGAAATCAGGATACCACCGTGAGTGACCTCAGCAATTCACACTGCCAGACATATCCATTTGCTTCGTCATCGGACTCCAGGGCTCTCCGTTTAAGATTTAGCACTTATGAATCACAACAGCCATAAAATGTGTTTCTTAGTATTGTGATATTTATTGAAAAACGTCTTGATTCTGCACTCTAAAGCCTTAACATATTGAATAATAGTCAGAAAAATCTACATTTTTCTACATTAAATGTTTTTGTTTTTTTTACCTTTAGACAAAACCTTTCTTAAAAATTTTGGGGAAATTTTTGAGTGTCATATTTGATACATCAGACTCTTATGGCTCATATAGAATGATGCAGTAAGAATATGGAGCTCATACTGAAGGAGAAAAAGCACATTATTTTTATTCAAAAGCCCAAACTGAGCAAATTGGTACAGATGTTGTTGTTTATATGACCAAAAAGTAAGATTGTCATTCGGATAGCTTGTAATATAAATAATTATAATAGTACAGCATACTTGCAAAAGATGCATATCAATTTTAGTTGTCACTCTGTATCTCACAATAATACAGCATATTTTAGTAAGTTGATAATTTAATGCTTGTTTGTAGGATCAAATATTTGTAGTTTTTATTATAATGGAATATAATGATTATCGAGAGATAAACAAATAAATGGTCCTCAAAATCCTGCTGTATCATATTTGATGCTCATGATTTTTCTAAAAAAAAAAAAGAAAAAAAGATGCATGGATAATCAAGTAAACCTAAGTTAACTGTTCATCTTGAAATATTATTAACTATAAAAATGGTTCTTACGATTACTTTCTAAAAATCATTAAAGAGACAAATAGACCCAGAGGGGATATTTTTACAATTATACTGTAAGTACTTTTAGTATAGTAGTATAAACTATCAATCAGACAACAGAAGGCATGTAAAAGATACAACAGGTTTTTCAGCAAATGATTGCAGTCTAAATTCACAAATCACATTTTTGGCTTTTTTTTTTACCAAGTGGTTCACTATAAAGAAAAGAAAAATTGGCACGCTGCCATTGATCAATTTTGCCAAGTGAAACTGAGATTGGAACGGGGCCAGAAAGGACCACGAGTTGGGATTTGTTGCCCAAGGTGTAACCACACACTGCCCACAAGGCTATAATCATAAGTACATGACTTTTAATAAATCATTCGTTCAGAAACATTCATAAATTGTAGTTACTGTTTTGAGTTACTGGTTTCACTGATCTGACTCAATAATAAGAAGTTACTGAATCAGCATATTACTAATGAAAATGTATAAATGGACCACTAGTAGGGTACTTGAGCAGTGTTTCCCAACCCTATTCCCAGACAGACCTGATTCAACTCATTAGTAGAGACACCAAGACCGGCTAGGCATGGATGGCTAGGGTAAGGGTGAAATACAAAATGTCTACAGTTGTTGTCGTGTCTCCAAAAACAGGGATAAGAAAGACTGTCCTAGGTGCTTACTTGCTGGCATAAGTCAAAAGAACCTGATATTTCATTCACAATGCCTTAATCTCAGTTGGCAATGAGTTTCAAAATTTTGCTCAGGGTTCAAAACCAGATCTAATCTCACTGAATGCTTTTCTCCTCTTTCTTTGAAAACGAACACACATCTCTTGACTGACAGCTCTGCTTAATGGGTTGTAAAGTTAATGGTTTCTTTTTTTCCCAAATTAGTTTTGTTTGTTTTTGACGATAACAGATGAGTGTTATTCCTAATGAGTGTTCAGTTGGGTGAATGGAATATGAACTAGCACTGAGTGTGAAATAACACATATTCATCTCGTCCCATTATTACCGCAGAACGCCGAGGACTCATATGTTTGCACAACAGCGATGTTCGCTAACAAAATGATCCCCGCTGTATGTGGCGCTGTCCTCTTTAAGATGAGTGATAAAGAGGCATTCAGAAAGCGAGGACTCGTCTGCCATATGCAGTCACTTCATATCAATTAGCTGTTGTCACAGGGACAGAGAAGCAGTTGTGGGAGAGATTGCATGTGTGCGTCTGCCGGCAGCACTTCCGCGACACTAAAATTTAACGGCTGCCCACGCCGCTCTGCCGGTGCGTAAGCACTTTTTGTGTATAACTTGGATTTCACACCATGTCTGATGCATGCTGGCTTTGCGTGTGCATGTGTCTGGCTCATTTTGTAACCCGAGGCTGACTTGTATTGACAATGATTGCTTCCAAAATGAGTGTATTATAGCGGAGAGCCTGACAGAAGTGCTGTTTGGCGACTGGGATGCGCCGATGCAGCCGTGCAGTTCATTATGCGCCGGCATTGTTAAGCAGCTTGACTGACAGGTCTCATGCATATTATGAGCGGGATGCTTGTCGGGTGAGATTGGGTTGTCGGGGAGCGGTTCATTTGGTCGGTCTTGGCGAAGTAGAGGAGGGTACAGAGATGATCGAAACCATTCCTCAATCCTGTTTATGCTGCCAATGTCACCCAACACCGTGAGGGGTCATATATTAATCACATGTGCAAATGAGACTCGCAGAAGTGCGCAGTTCCGTCTTTGCTGGATTTGTAAACAACGCCAGTTTGTGCCACATTCATCGCAGGATGGAGAAGCCGCAGATGGTCATCACCTGTCAAAGAGCGGTCTTAATGCGGTGAAAAAGTGCAGACGTCAGTACGGGTTTCATTCGGTCACCTGAACGCTCCCATCTTGTTTGCTTCATTACACTCTGTTAGGCCTGAAATAAAATTGCACAGTACCTGGTTGGGACAGGTGTAAAATATGGTCGATGTGGGCCTGCTTGGCAAAGCGTTTTCTGCCCTGGTAGCAGGTGGGGGGAAATTACCCAGGCTGCCCTACAAACAGGGCAGGCCGTGCTTC